CAACCCGACCCGATCCTAGAGGCGGGTCGGGTTCGGGTTGAATATTTGGCGACGCAATTTAAAATATAAATAATATTTTTAGTTTTGTATTACTGGTTGAAAGTTATCTCTACTGGAATTTCCAATTGAAAGACTTGTTTCAGAACAACTGCATTCACTAAGTCGATTAATGATCGCTTTCTTTGCACATAAGAGAGTGCTTCCTGCACTGAAAGCAATGGCAATACACCCCTTACTGCTTTTTTTCAATGTACTGTTTTAAACACCCGTACATAGAAGACTTTACTATAATGCTCTCTACTTGCTATCTTAGTATTAGGTGATACTGACTGACCAGTGAGAATAAGGATGTGGCCATCATCTCGGTTAAGATAATCTATTGACAAAGTGTAATCTATTGAAAATTCCTCAGTAATCTTTTAAACAAAATGACCAATCAGAAGTCGTTCAAAAAATTTTTTTTTGAACTACGAGATTCTACAATATGCACCGAAAAACTTTTGTCTAACAAGGCAAGTCTATATTCTTTCTCAAACACAGTTTTCTGGCGAGACTGTTTTCATCGGGTCGGGTCGGGTTCGGGTTCAGATGTTATCGGGTCGGGTTCGGGTTAAGTTGTTGTTGGGTCGGGTTCGGGTTCGGTTTTCTTAACCCGTGCAGGTCTTTAACCGAGTCAAAAGAATTTTCGAAAAGTTTTAGCAGTGAAATCATTGGGAAACATGAGGGACGCTGAGTTTCGCTAGATAAGATGACTGACAATCCCTCAAAAAGTACTCAATTATGCCATTAAAGAAAATGGCGACAATTTTCTTTTTTTCAAATGTTTAAAGCGATAAGCAAAATAATAAATGTTTTGCTTTCTGAACTTATGTATCTTATATCATATTACAATCTTTCCGACTTTGTTTATCAAAAGGCAACACGTTTATTTTTGCTTCGTCTAAAAGATGCACGTGTGAATACTTGTTCCTATATGTAATTTTGATATATATTTCTCTATACTTGATATAGATACGTGTATTATATGTACATGTTGTCATTCTCAACTTTTTTTCGTTTTCGTGCATGATATCTGTACATATATGTTGCAGAAGAAAATAAAATCCAAGGGAATTTAAAAATCTTCTAGGAGAAATTAGAATTTTGATTTCGACTAGGTGAAATTAAAATCTACTTACTCACAAACACGAAAACTCAGTTATTCGGGTTTGGAGTTCGAATTTTAGTTTTTCTAAAAAGTACATGATATTTATGAACATCAGGAGAGGATTGCGAACAGTGGTCGTGGTCAAAAAGTCCCATTGCCATAAGGTCGAGCACAGGTCACAAAATGTTTAAGGTCCATACTCAATGTACTACATGCAGTTTTTGGATTTGCAATCGCAACTTTCTCCTGATGTTCATAAACATCATGAGCTTTTCAGAAAACTAAAATTCGAACTCTAAACCCGAATAACTGAGTTTGCGTGGTTGTAAGTAGATTTTAATTTCATCTAGTCGGAATCAAAGTTCTAATTTCTCCTCGAAAAATTATAAATTCTCCTGCAACATAGACATTCCATCATTATAGTTCTATTTTTATAAACGAAAACGAAGCACAAAACAATCCTTACTCACCTTTTTATTTACGTTGCAAGTGACAAAAAAGTTAACTTCTAATGTAAACTATTTTGAACATAACAAAGTTGAATAGAGACAACGTTATTTTGTTTTACATCACTTTGTTTGTTTGTCAGAATATCATCGATACCTTATTGGTATGTCCATGACATTTTTTTATTTTTTCTTGTGGACATGTAAAATCAATAAGATTTCTGACTGTGTGCACCGTTTTTATGAATGACAACAATGACTGATCTGGTACACTTCAGCTGTATTCGATATTTGTACAGAAAATTTTGTTGATTCACACACTGCTGTAGAAAGTTAAACTTGAAACAATACTCCTGGATGAAGGAAAAGTACTGGTTATTTATCTAATATGATAGTTAGATATTAGTTATATTTAAATTAATTAATTAACAACTTTAGTGTAAGTCTTGCCAGTCTCTGTATGTGTGTGTGTAATGAATAAACAATGTTGATTCGGTGCATTTCAGACGCACATGATATCGGCACTATTGAGCTGATCACGCGCAGTGGCGGCGCGAAGGAGTTGGAGCAGAGGGGCTGTAGTTCAAAAAATCGAAGTAAGTCCAAAAGCGTTTTCTGGTATTTGATAAAGTAAAATAGACGATACAAAACTCGCTGTTTTTTTATTTCGGACGTACTGTTGTATAATCAGTTACCATCACGCTTGTAGACACACAAGGAAACTGCATTTTTTGTTGTTCCTTCATATAGTGTATTCAAAAACGAAAAAATACAAAACAAAATACTAAATTCGACGACCAGTGGTTTCTGGAATATTTGATTAGTATCGATACTCCACTCGGCCAACTAATGATTCTAGTCAGGACTTGTTCTTGTCTATCTCTTGGGAGGATGTGTTCTACCTGTTCGACCTTTCTCTGATTTTGTGGCATTTTTGGAGCAAAGATAGCCGGAAACTCGAGAAAACGGCAAATATGTATGCAAAACCTGTAAAAGTTTGCCGAAATAGGAGTAAACTTACTCCATTTTTTCACAAAATTGGAGTAAATTTGCCGTACTTTTGGCTCAAATTTCTCCCAAAATTTCTGAAAGCAGGAGGGGTGTACACTCCCCTCACACAACGGTCGCACCGCCGCTGATCACATGCTAATAAATGTATAAGCTTTTTCTTCAAAAATCTGAATTACCCTTTTGAGATAAACACTGTCATGTAGGTAGCTAACTGCTCTACAAAAGCTCCCTGATGCAATATCCTAGGAAAAAAACTTATGATTAAAAAATATTTAGCCGTTTTTCTCACCGGTACTTGATATGTCAAACAAGAATCAGTATAGAGCCGTAGCACAGTGGTTTAGTGTGAAGAACGTGAAGTTTTTCGTCGCCGATCCGAATCTTTTTGGTTTTCTTCAAAAAGCAAAGTGACCCATTTGAGATTGCCAAAATGTTCAATCCTTTTAATATGAGATGGATGAATATAAGTTCTGACCAGTAGTCACTGATGTGGTTGTTTCTCGCTAGCCATCAGGAGCCACTTTCTACGTCAAACGATGTGGAAAGTGATTCCTGACGGTTAACGGGAAACAACCCACAGATGTTGACCTTTTTTCTTGCTTCGTTCTTCGCTCAGTTACAGTCTATCTTCAATCTAATCTGTTAGATTGCTGAAAAACGCTCTTCTCGAAGATGAATTTCCCTCTTACATTTTTCAACGGCGATGATTTAAAATCATCTTTTTTATCATAGGATACTCAGTAGGAGAGAAATGTAGCGTAATAGTTTGAAGCAAAACCAACGTCCGTTTGTTTCTCAAATTTTCTCGAGTTTCTTTTTAAGTAAAAATGGCGAAAGGCTGGTTGGGTAGAAACGAACACATCTATGGCGTCAAAGCAAAGGAGTTTCATTTTTTTAAAGTCTAACATTTCCTGTCATACCAAGGCATCCATAAATTTCTATCTGTAAACGCTACAATCACCGCAAAATTTCACGTTGCATAGTAGTGCATAGAGATTTATGGATGCCTTCGTTTGATCGACATTTCTTTCTCATTAGCAGTTCTTGATACAAGCGACAGATAAAACATTTATATATTTATTTTTGTCTTATACTCTTATTTTTTAGTTGTCATTCATACTACATCGCTTTTTACTTATTGTGGCTTTTGTTTCCTCGGTAATCGGGGGATGGATTAAACATTATCCAATTGGTAATTCCTGAAGAGCGACATCAATATATGTCAAGAAATATATCAAAATTCTTTACGTTTAGGTTATGCACAATGAATAAAATTGATTATTTGAATCTCTTTTTGATATGAGTAGCTAACAAAAATTATCAAAAATTTATAGATGTATTTCTACGGCATAGGTGCAACAAATGTCATTATTTTAGCAGATAGAAATAAAAAGAAGAGGAAGAACTCTTTGCAATGGAACAAAATGCTAAAGCCTATAAAAGGGATCGACAATTCCAGTGTTTCTTAAATCAATTTTCAATTGTGCATGTTTTTCTTTTTAGACTTTGTCGTTTTAAGTGTACAGTTTTGATCAGTTTTGAAGTCATTGAATGAATCAATCACTGACCTCTGTCATAACCAAATGCAATGAATTACATTTGTATTTTTAGTTATATTCTTTTCCCTTTAACTTCCTTTTGAACTTGTTTGAATTGTGAGCACTGATGGATTCAGCCAGCGAGCAGTCGTACCTCTAGAGACAAAGAATATTTTTTGGGCAGGAGAACTGACTTACAAAATCGTGTTTCTATGGCGATCATACGTGTACTTAAGGAAAATCCTGAATCCGCCACCGATTGCAGTACAAGCTATCAAGTGTTGCTATTTACAGCTACATAGCAAGAAAATTTAGTGCAAATAAAATGATCCTAGTCTTCGAGTCATTTCTACTTATATCTACATTTTTCACGCTTGTGTTTTAGATAAATATGTTTTTAAATTTGTATCAGAAGTCGAGTACTACATTACAAATACTACTACATTTGAATATCGTTTATACACTATTTTGGGAAGTAATTGAAATTATTTGCTTTGTATTTAAACGTTATAACTTAATTTATCCAACAAATGCATTTGGTATTGAATTATCAATGACATTCTTGTTAATTTTAAACGAATTTGTTCGACAATTTTTCGGTATTAAAGGCAATCTTACACAACGTGTGTCATTACTAATTATTTTTTTAATATTTAATGCTTGTTGTGCATTAGGCTTCGTTTTCTTTCTTATTTGGCAATCATATGTTCAACGTGTTGAAATTATTCTATCATCGATCGCATTATTATTTATTCTAACTGAAACAATATTTACCATTGTGACAATCATTCGACTAAAAATAATCACGAAAGATTTAACTGTCCAACAAAAAATTGATAAAATAAAAGAAGCGCGAGATAAATTTCAACAGACTAAGAACGACTAATTTTATTTGTAGAATGAGGACAGAACTCGGTATCTTGAAAAGTGAAAAAAAAAATTATTCGATCCTCTGTTCGTATAGGTGATGAAATTTTTTATGAGTTTCTGCAAATTATGCTCGATTTTAGATATACATTGTCTAAAAATACTCAAGCTAAAGTATGTTGTACAATTTGTTTCGTCCTTCTTTTGTATGAACGATTTATAGAAATTAGATTTATTTTTTCTACGTTTTATTCGATTGTAGATGTATGAGATCGACTCAAAATAGATTAGATTCATAATGAATGGAAGTCATACACTTCTCTGCAAGCAGAGACAGACATATTTATCTTAGGAAGATCATGCACCTAGGGGAACTTTTATTTGTATCCACAATGTATTTATTTGGCGTGCATTTTTATTTAACTCAATAACAAAGAATATTACAAAAGGCTGATATATGTTACGTTTTCAGAATAGTTTTTTTTAATTTTAACATAAATTAGTCGTTGACAAATAATTCAGGTTTTGCCCCATAAACAAAATATTTTAGTAAATATGCTGTGGCTGAACACAATTTGACACAAATATTGGTTGAGCCATCTTTTAGATAGAAAATTTTAACCAATCAATTTTTGATCATCATTTTATTTTTAAATAGTCACCATAAGAAATATGTGAATTATACACACATATACATAGTTGCCAAACAATATATAAATAATTGTTGCTATTCGCACATTGTACCAAACAATTTCACCTCATTCGGTAATACCAAGTTTTTTCGGTCGATTTGAACGTATCAATGGTTTTTTTTCAATTCCGACATTCTAAAATAATCAAGAATAGAAATACAGAGTAAATAAATAGAAATGATTTATTTTTCTCGATTGATATACTTACACATATACTTGCATCTGATTTTCTAGCATTTGTATTATCACCCATGTCTATATTTTGTTCAATTTGATTATCAGATCCACTATTGTATGTTTCAAAATGATCTTGACTACCTGTTGGTGACCCGAATGGTGATTGAGCACTATCGCGAAACTTTTTTGACCAACGTTGAACAGTAGAATATTTTGGTGCTTCATCACCAAATGCATCTTGTAATTCTCGTAGAATATCTTTTGGTGGATAGCCCAAAAATGTACGAATTTTAATGTATGAACGAAATGAGTTAGACATGATGATAATTTGTGATTAACAATTAAATCAAACTACTGCACTATAGAACAAAGAAACAGTTTATCATTTTTATTTAAAAAAATCTCATTTTTACTTACCGTTTAAAATTGAAAAGAAAAAAGAAAATCAATTAAAAAAAACTACACGACAGTACAAGACCAAAGAAAATTTTTTTTGAATAAATGATCATTCTATAAATGAAGTTAATTTTGTTTATTGTTGCTGAGTAACTTTGTTTTTAAGATAATTGATCTATACGAAAGTGCGCCTAATCTATTTTTAAACTGTTAATAACCCAAATAAAAACTTCACATTTTCTCGACTTTCATCTTCAATATGACACGTTCATATTGTCAAGTATTCTGAAACTAAATTCTCATTTAACTCAAATAAACAGTATGTAAGCTATGCAGATCAGCAGGTAGCAGTGTCATTAGTTCGATTTCATTTTAACTATCAATAGTTTTAAAGAAAAAGGAGCGCTACAAGACTAATTTTTCAATTATCATAATCCATCGAAACAAAAAGAAAATATTGATCAAAGTTCTAAGAACTTAGAGTCATTGGAAGAATAGAAATACTTCGTTCATTTTAGTATATAGCCAGATCGAACATGTTATGATGTTGAATACAGTCGGATCGATTGTAAAAATTGGAGCAGTAGTCAAATAATTTTATCATATCTTTATTAGAGATCAAGGTTAGTGATTATTTCTCTTATAAATATATATGAGTGATTCTGATAAAAATAGTACCCTTCGAATGAAGTAAATGGTCCCAAGGGTTTCTTTTCTTAGCCTTGATGAATCGCTTTCGGACTTCTCGCATATAGTCAACAACGTTAGGCTTATAATCACTGCAAGTACGACTTTTCTATGTTAACCATAAACGAATTATAAGCAGAACATCGATATTTTACCGTTATTTTGATGTTCCCTACAAAAAAATATTTTATCGGCACTGGTTGTGCATGGATGCGCACCAGTGCCGAATAATTTTTTTTCTGGGCATCGTACTCTAATACAAAATTCAGCATAAACAACGATAATAAAGAGCTAATTAAATTGATTAAATAAATTATCAGTGCAGCACCGATTTTTGCCAGTGCAGCATCCATGCGGCACTCTTTCGGCAGAAATATATCGGCACTGGTGCGCACGGGTGCCAATCGCCACTGGTTCGGCACGTGCTAGGCACGGGTGCGCACCAATGCCAGTGACAGGTGGCATGCCATGCGCACCGGTGCGCACCAGAGTTGTAACCGGTCCGGACCGGTTGAGTGAATTGGACCGGCCGGTTTTTACCGGTTTCACAAAGTTGTGGATATTCGTTCATTTTTCATCAGAAAGATACTATGTATGGGTGCTTAGTAGTTTTTTTAAAGGAAAGAGAGAGTGACAATTTTATTTGAAATGTAAATTTTTCTT